GTCCCTAGAAGGAGAAAAAAAAGAAGCCAACATATTTAGCTTGTGTTCAACTCTAGTATTTTCTTCTATACAAAGATTACTATAGGTCTCTGAAAATCCCAGAAAAATATGGTATGAAAACTCTGTTGATGAGAACACATAAGATAAGAAGGTTCTATTTTTATCTGCAATATCATTGAAATAAACTTGTGCAAACATTTGTGAATCTTGGATGGCAGCAATACATGTATTGAAAAAGAGCAGTGAAAGAGTTGTGGTCATCATTTAGTTTCTTCAGTGCTATTCTGAAACTTTGCCTCTCTGAGTGTATGGTGCAAGTTACTTCTTTATTACTTAGACTTGAGTGTGGCCATGAGAATGGTTTTGGCCAGTGTCATAGAAGCAGAAGTGTATGTGCCATTGGTGAGCAGAAACCTTTATTTTGTTTCTCTTCTAAGTTGATTGTAGAAGCTTATATATATCAAGGGTAGCCTCTGTGAGCCTGGGTACCTTATGATTGGAAGAATCCTCCCAGTTCTGGGCTGTGTGACAGGCAGCATAATGAGAAGAAATCCTCATGGACATTTTTTGATTGTTTATTTTTGGAGCATAACTTTTTTCTATCTTGATTTATAAAAGCAGTTTCCAGAAAAGATCAATTATTAAAGACAATTAAAGCCAGAATCAGACCAATTACATCGACTTGGGTGCACTTAGGGAACAGATTTCAGAGGCAGGGGACTGTTTATAGAGAAGAGACAGCATACAGGAATTAGGTGAGGATCTTAAAGCCCAAATCTAAGAATCTAACAGTTTGAAATCATATTCCATTTCTAGAAAGAAATGTGAATGATTCAATGGACAGGCTAGCAGATGACCAGGACACACAGAGTCAGTGTTAAACTGGGGTAGTGCTCCCTCTTGAGTCATGCAGGGATTTGGATGTAAGTAGTGAACTCCAGTCTCTGTCAGTTTCTCATTATTGAGATGCAATACACAACACCTGCAACTTAAGGAAAGAGAGATTTTTTTTGGCTCTTTGTTTTTAGAAGATTCAACTGTAGTTGGCTACCTTAAATTCACTTCAAGGTATAATGGGCATCGTGTAAGGGTCAGTTAGAAGAAAGCCACTCACATCATGGCAGCCAGGAAGCAGAGGGCAAAGGGAGAAGTCAAGGAGTGAGTTACATCCTTCCAGGTCACACCCCCAGCAGCTTAGCTTTAATTGCACTTCACCTCCTAACAGCACTGCTGACTTTCAGCAAATGAATCCACTGATGAGTATAGGACCCTCATGATCTAATCACCTTCCAAAAGATCTGCTGTGATGGTCTGTGTCTGGACATCCCCACAAACTCTCATGCAGGAATGAGGTGTGGGCATTTCAGAGGCAGGTGAATTTACAGTTCATAATTGATTCATAGTCCCATGCTGGAATTAAGGTTGTGAGTGCTGCACAGGCCCTAGGACAGGTATCCTGCATATAATATAAAGGAAAGAAAGAGAGGCTTGTCTTGCTCTCTCCCTTTCTTGCTGCTTTTACTGTCTTTCACAGCTGTGAACAGTTATCCCTCTGCCATGTGCCACTCTGTCTTGGAGCCAGCTGACTGAGACCTCTACAATCTGTGAGCTTATTAAACCTTTCCTCCTTTAATTTTGGATATTGGGTATTTTGTCTCAACAATGAGAGAAACATACATAAGACACCTACCTGTGAACACATGAGCATTTTAGGGGACATTTTAACTCTAAACCACAGCAACTCCAAATGCAGGAAAACAGCCAGTTACCGTTCACATAGCATTGCTGCTGAGGAGTAGATTTCCGGGCTTACCTAAGCTTGTGACTAGTCATCATAGTGACCAGTTGGTTACTGTCAGAGAATTTAGGGCCAGAAACAAAGAAAAGGAAATTAGCAAGAGAGTCTCTCTGATAGTGTAACATTCTAAAAAAAATGCAATATTTCAGTTACACTGATTTTAACTCTATTTTCCAAACAACTGTTCAAGGAATGTCAATGTTTTTTCAAAAAAGTTAGTAACCATCTTCCTTGTCTTTTATGCAATGTGTACAAAGGACTTCTGATTTTTAACAAATTATGGAATTAACAGATATTTTATTTGATGATGCCTACTTATTAAACGTGATGGTTCTGTGAGTTAAGTCATCTATATTTTATAGCTCACTGTGACTCACCATATGGTATCTCCTGGGTGGATCGAAACGTTTAAAATCAGACTACCTCGTGAAAAACTCTATGCAATTTTCCAGGTGCATTCGTGCCACACTTACTGAACTCAACACAGCTCAAATAGAAAAAAAAAATTGGGGCTGGGGATTTAGCTCAGTGGCATAAGCGCCTGCCTTGCAAGCAGGCAGTCGTGGGGTCCATCCCCGGTACCAATAAAAAAGGAAAAAGACAAAAAAAATTCATATAACTTGTCCTTGGTAAACAATATTTGTAATTTCCTAGAATTTGTCTACTTTTTAAATCTGTATTTTCTTCTGGATGCATACTTCAAATGAACATATTAAGATATAGCAGATTTTATAAAACTATAAAAATATAAATATATTTTAAATGGAAGCATTTAAAAATTACTATGATTTTCATTTCCTTGTTTGGTGAACTATTAATTTAATGAAAAAGGAAAATGAAATCCTAAATAAGTCTTGGGTAATATATTTTTCTCTGAAGAATTGCTTCCTCTTTGGGACCTAGAGTTTGATGTAATAATAGAAGTTGAAATGTGGAATGGGAAATTAGAATGAACGTTAGGCATCCTTTTGGCTATGTGAATTATCTCTATTGTGCTTTTAAAATTTAATATGGAAAGGGACTCAAATGGGTTCTGCTCATCTACCTGTACACAGTAGGGTGATTGTGTTTTGTGCATCCTGAAGCTCCCCAGATGGGATGCAATAGAATTTTGAAGAATCATGGAAAATGGGTTCAGGGTCAGTTGATCACAATTCAGTCGAGAATAAAGTCTTACCCTTTTTTTCTGGCAGATTTATAAATGTTGGTTTTCACTGTGTCCGTTTGAAATTCCCTGTGAAAATGATGGTTGTTTCCATACTTCATAGTTCCCTGATATGGATGAGGAATTGTGCCGCAGCTTACTGTCCACGTTCTATCTGTAATAGCTAGTTAACTGGGTCTGGGCACTCTTCAGATATGTGCGATCAAGTACCCTGTAAGAGAGAAAAGCTGAACCAATCCTTTTTTTTTTTTTTTTTGTCTTTTTCTTTTTTATCGGTACCGGGAATCGAACTCACAACTGCCTGTTTGCAAGGCAGGCGCTTATGCCGCTGAGCTAAATCCCCAGCCCCCTTTCTTTCTTTTTTTTTTCTTTTTCTTTTCTTTCTTTTTTTTTTTTTTTAGCTGAACCAATCCTACCAGAACAGAATACTCACTTCTTCAGAGATTATTACACTGCTGCTAACTCTATGTTGGAATACTACTCATGGGCTTATTCAATGAGTCATATAGTTTGTATTTTTAAAATTCACTTCATGTTCCTCTGTATTTCAGATATATGCACTGAAATATATACATTTCCTCTAAATACTGTTTTGATGCATCTTATAAATTTGATATGTTGCTTTTATTGTTGAAGAACCCAAAACATTTATAGATTTCTAGCAGAAATTTTTTATTGATTTGTTGATTATTTAAAGTGTAAGAGTCCAGTAAAATGTACTGGAGGCTACACATGCTAACCACATTGTGATTTTAAAAAGTCTGAGTCAATAAATGTGTTTGTCCTGGTTGTGCTCCCTGTGCATTTTTCTGTGTGCCCAGTGCATTTTTCTGGCTCTTATTTGTTTTGTGTCCTTAACCTAATCCTCCTGTTGTTAACTTTTCTGGCTCAGACATTCTCAAGCATCCAGATAATACATTTCCAGAATGTTTAAATTTCTTTTTGTGCTTTAGAATATATGGTAAAAAATATTAAAGTCTGTTGTTTCACCAACCTTGTTAATTTATTTCTTCTCATAATAAACTGCATCTGTGACATTCTTGGCCCAATCATAAAGCTTCCTCCAGTTCAATATTGTAAATTTGGCATCTCACCAGCAAGGTATATTTCTGATGAGTGAAAAGTATTGGTGTTCAAAAATATATCACACACACACACACACACACACACACACACACACACACTCACTCACTCACTCACTTGGTCTAGACCACATTAAATAACTTGTAATAATGACTGGAAAATTGTGTTCTCCATTTACTCAAGCCTTCTGGGTGTCCTATTGCCAGTGAAGTTATGCTTATCATAGATGGTAGTGCTGATGTGACCATGGGGATTCACGAGGAAACTTTATTCATAAATATTTATGATTTATTTTTTTCTGAAGATGACATTTGGGAAAGTAGACTGGCATGAACCATTTACTATTTTGCAACAAGGTATCAACTCTGTGGCCTTAATGAGAGAAATAGTTAATAAAATTACAGAAGAATAAGAAACTGTGTTCTTGCTTTTCTGCCATATTCCCATATTCAATGACTACAGTAACTACTGTGTTTGAAAACTCTTTTGTATAAACCTTCAAGTTTCTCACAGCTTAGGGAAGGGTCAAATTCTTATCTGTGTATTACTTCAGAATTTCTTAAATATCCACCGATATTTAATACTGTCAGTCTTTCACAATGCAAATATAAAATCTTAAAATTTTAAAAAATCAGCAACAGGTTGTTTTCCAGCATTTACTGATATTTTTACTGTAAGCAAATTTATTTCCAGGATGCAATACATTTATTATGTGGATGAGAATGATTTACAAAAATTTAGAAAGAGATGAGAGAAAGAGAGAGAGAGAGAGAAAGAGAGAGAGAAAGAGAGAGAGATGGATTCACTGCAAAAAATGATATAAAAGTATAATCCGAGCAGAATCAGGATTGTTGTGAGTGCCCCTTTAAACTGTAGGACTGCAATTGATCTCTGTATGTTTTCTGGTATTTGTTCCTTTGAAAAGAGAATGAGCCAAGATCATTGGCTGAACTGTGGAGCTGTCACATCTCAGTACTGAAAAGATACAGTGCGAGTGAATTTAAACAGTCTTTGACTTTCTATTCCTTATTGCCCAGAGCGTTGCGAACGGTGAACCAAGTAAACGCTTTATTAAGGCTAAGTAAGATAACAGATTCCTCCCGTCTGACAGCGTTTCAGCCTCCGGAGTGAGGAAGCAGCAGAAACAGAAGCATCAGTAGCAGCAGCAACAGCAGCAGCCCTGCCGAAGTCCAATAGAGGAGACCTGGTCTCTAGTACATTGTGGAACTCCGCCTGGGATCGTGCACTGTCCAGGGTCCTGAAACATGAACCAAACTGCCAGCGTGTCCCATCACATCAAGTGTCAGCCCGCAAAAACAATCAAGGTAGGACCAGGTTTTTGCCTCCTCCCTCTGCTTTTGCACCTGTACTTGCGGTCATCTGACTCATAGTTGGGTGTTGGTATGGCAGGGCAGCGATGGTGGAGATATCTAGTTGGCTAGATTTTGGATTGAAGGTTGGATCTCAGTGTGTCATTCTGCTTGCATGTGTAAGTGGACTGGAGAGCTTAGTTTCCTTGAACAACTCTTCTATCCTGATGACTTCAGATTTTTTTTGACTGAAAAGCTATCAGTGATACATTTCAGATATACACTTTAGTGAGTTCCTAGAAGTGTCTAGTTCATACCAGTTTTCTTAATGGAACTGGTGAGGAATTTGGAAACTACTTAAAACAGGTAGCATTAAATTGACAAATTTGACACTATATTATAGTCAATATAGATTTTTTTATCTCTTGTCTTTCCAGAGAAAAATATGTCCATCATTGTTAGCATTGAACTGGTGGTTATACTACAGTGACTTTAGTGAGAGTATAAAAGACTATTGAGAGTGTAAAGACATGTTCTTATGTCTACTATCATATAACTCAAACTAGGGAAATGTTTGGAGATACTTGTTGGTACCAATGATTGTTCTAAATCTGAGGATTTCTGATAGTGCATGGTTAAAAGTAAAGTAAGCTCAACACTTCATTTTTTGTTTTAATTTGGTATTCTCTGAATTACCCAAAGGTGTACAAATGGCCATGTGCCCAATTGAAAATTTGTTCCATATTGTCTGTCATCTATCTGAACTGTGGATGTGTGGAATAGAGATTTTTTATATTGAATCAAAGTGATGGGTTCCTCTGAAACACTTTTATGAAGGAAATTGGTAAAGTGATTACCTGGTTGGTCATCTTTAGTTATTGCCAACTCTCATTCACATACAAGTGCATACTTTAAACTAAGATGAATTTTTATAATTTACATCATTTTTTGGTTTATGTCCCTGGCCTTTGACAATATTGCACAGACTGTAATTACAAAATGGATATAGTTTTCAGTAATATCTCTTTATTATGAACTTTCCTACCCTTTGTCAGAGTCTTTAAATGATAAATAGACCATAAACTGTACATTTTACTTCATTTATCAGCAGTTATTTTTAAAAGCAATGAGGTAGCCAAGATATATCCAAAGATACCCAATTAGATTCTCATCATATATAAACACAGAGAGTTAACTTAAATCATGTAGATCCTAGATTCAGATAATTTATACCGTCTTTAATGGCCAAAGTAGAATCTATTTCAGCTTTATATTTTTGTACTGTGTCCAAGTTTAGAAATAAAATGTTGAGTGTTTGAATTTAAATTGTTCTCTGCATGTAAGATTCTCACATACATCACTTATATAAATACACTGTCACTAGGACAATGCCAAAAAAGTAAATACATAACATTCCATATAGTGATACATAAACTCTAGTTGAAAGTATGTATTGTTGTCTCAAGTGGGATAAAACTATGAACTATCTATCTAACTTTGTCTAGAAAACAATAAAACACATTGGCTTTCTGTTTAAGTGTTTGAGGTCACAGAAATCAAGCATTTTTGTTTGCCATTTTCTTTATTGGGTAAGCACAAATGAATGCTGCTTTCTGTTACTTTAAATCACTTTCCTTATTAATACTCTGGCATTCACTGCTCTCAGACAAACTGTGGAGCAAAAAATGTTTCTAGTATGAGGGTTTTGCATCATCTTGCTGATCTTGCAGATGCTGGTTTTTATTCTAACTGCAGCCATTGAATTTAAATGAAAGGCATCATAAAAATTGGACAACCCACCACTTAGCAATGTATTATATTAATGGCTTAATGAAAGAATCTTGAATCAAAGCTCTGGGTGATTTGGTTAATTGTACAAGTTAAGTTATTTTGTGCACACCCCCATATTACTCTGGGGAGCAAAAGATGCTTGTGATGTTCATAAAGTATATATAGTTGCAAACACAGAACTATTAAGGGAGTAATTACTTGAGTAGTTTCCAATTTGCAACAGTAAAAAGGCATGAGTGGAAAAGCTCTCTTACTTCAAATTATATGCTCAATTATGAAACATTTATGGCTTTTGGAATTTAAACTAAAAATGGCTATCTATATTTAGGTAATGCATTAGCCTATGAGCAAAATGCAATAACTACCTAAAGAAAAATCCTAAGATGAGAGGCTTTTGGAAAGCTGCTGTATACTGGAAATTAAAAGACTGAATTTTTGGAATCTTAGTCTTGATCATGGTTGCTTAGTGGTAATTCCCCCCTCATTATCGAGGTTATTATTTGACAATTTAAAATAAAGCCCCTTCCTGGAATTTGATTGGTTTAAAGATAATGATAATTCACATCAGGGCTCTGAAAATATCCAGATATTTTAAAATTTTCATCTTGTTCCACTTTAGAAATTCTAAAGCCTCTAGGGGCCTTTATTCTATAGCTCAATATAATAAACTCTAGAGATTTTTCTCCTCATTCACTGTAGTAAATGCTGCTGTTATCTCTAGGTAGTGTAACTCTTGCTAAACAGAATGCAAGAGGATTGAAATGGACCAAAATAAACTGTGTGACTAAAATTAGCTGTAATACCCAAAATTCTGTAGGAGAAAAAATAGGAATATTTATGCATGTGTGTAAGCGCACGTACATGTGTGTGTATGTTTCATGTGAATGTTAAAAAGTGATGAGACCACAGTGGGTTAAATTCAGCAATTGTTGCCAGCCAAAGCTATTTGTGGTCATGATAGTGATGGTGCTGGAGAAGCAGAGATGGGAAAGAGTCATAGTGGGATTAAGTGGTCAACATTGTTTGAGTTGTTTGACATTTGTTTTGTCACTCTGGCCTTTCTCCAACTTATCCAGTCTCAAACACAACTTTTCTGATGTACTTCTGCAAGGATGTTTCTACACTCAGAACTGGCAAGAAAAAACAAAGCAAAAAAAAGAGCACCAAATAAAGGTACCAACCTGTCTCAGGTCACTTTTGCATGGAATGCTGAGAGCAATACACTCATAAAACTGTCTCTCATTCCAGACTTGGTAAGGAGTAAAGATTTTCTTGAAATGATTAAAAATCTTACTGTCAGGTTAGTACCACTGAAAGAAAAATTATTCTCTTACACTGTAAGATCTGTAATGGAAAGTTTGGACATGTCAAATACAGATCTAATCTTGGCATTAGTACAAACTTGAGTTCTGGAATAATGTCCTACCTTGGGCAACACGTTTTGTTTTGTTTTTACTGTCTTTAATCCTCTGTGCTACCCTAAAAGTAAATTAAACCTTCAAGCCAAATGTTTGACTTGCCTTTTTTTCTTAGCAAATTTTTAAATTTAGAACTTTTCCTCTTAATGTGAAGAGTTTTAAAAATTATTCCAAATTTTAATGTATGTCTAGCAACCATGTGTGTCAACAGAAAGTGGAAATCCTTTATTTTTAATTTTTTGAAGTCAAAAGCTGTGAATGAATTATTTGGGGCTGATGATTCCTGAGAGAGGAATCATATGCCTGCATTTTACTACAAAAACTCCGCAATAGACTGCAAAGTATCTCTTTGCTTTCCCACCTAGAGCTTCTATACCATTCTCCTTCCTTCTTTTTCCCTGTTTCCAGACTTGCCTGTCTTGTTCTATTACTGCATATTCTTCCAGGTTTCCAATTGCACATAATATACAACTGCAGGTCTAAAAGATCCAGCTTTTTCCTACATAGCCCTGCTTGTGTAGTTGCAAGTTTGTATGAACCATAATAAATGCTTTAGGATTTTCATCATCTTCAGAGAACATCTTGAGCTGGTAAACTTTTTCATGATAATTTTAACTGACTTTATGTAGCAATACTGACGAAGCTAATAAAGACTTTTCCTTCCTTTACTGCTTCTACTCCACAGACTCATCAAACTGTGGTATAGGAAATAGAAGATGAAATAAGTGGGTAAAGTTATCGTACCGAATCTCATACATTTGTGCAAACACTATGTGTCAATAAAAAAAGTAAAATCAAACTTAAAAAGCAGGCGGGTAAGATAGTATGAAAATCTCAATATAAACAATTTTGATTAAACCTATAGGTTAGGAAGTCACTTCTGTCTTTAGCAAATTGGCATTTTGAGGTGAGACTCTGGTGAATTGATTTGTTGAGACTGAGTAGGAATTATACCACTCTTGTGTCATTGGCTTTTAATTCCATACCTATTACCTAATAAATAAATATCACAATTTTTACATGATATTTGAGCATACATTGCTATTAAGTTTTCAAGAGTATCTCATAATTGCATATGAAAACCGTAGCCATAAAAATTTATAAATATGCAAGTATATAAGTAAAATTTTACCCTTTTTTATGTCATCATAATAAACAAATGCAAGCATCCCTCACATTCACTATGTTTTAAAATTCTAAGTGAAAAGATTATAACACAATTGTGCCATGCCTTAGAGATTTTCCTTGTTACTAATCTTAATAACTGTAGGATGTAAAAGAAAGAAATCTTTTAAAAGTGTGATCTCAGAGCAGACTCAGACATACATTACAGACAGAGTAAATGTTGATAGTTTTACAGCTACTGGTTCTGAGGACTTCAGTGAACTCAAAAGTTCTACTTGGCAAAGTACAGAGGTTTTTACAGCATTAGGAGAATGGGCTATTTTCATAAATACTGAATATGAGGAAGTTAAACGACAAGATTTACAATTATGGATAAGGATATTCTGACTGTGACAACATTTCTCTGTCTCTTCTAAATTGTCTACATTTTTTAATTACTCAAGCACAGCTTCCTCATATGCTTAAGGATAATCACAGTGTGTCTTATGCATGAAGACAATCACAAGTTAGAAACTTTGTTAATGACAAATTTATAGTCACTTAGAATTTACATTTATGGCTGCATATTTAAATTTTAAATGATTAGAACAGTTTTATTTCTAAGGGCTATAAATACAACTGTTATAAAGAAGCATTAAAGATTAATTTTTCTTTTTAATAAATAAACATAGTGCTATAATA